CATTCTAATGGAGCAGAGATTGAGAATCATCTGTCTAGTCTAACCCTCTCATTTTACAGACAATAACTAAGGTCAGCCCCACCCCAGATGGCCCATGACAGCTCCATTTTTAATCTTTTTTTTTTTAACTTTGGGATTTGGCAATTTATTTGGAAAAAGTCAGCCTCAATCTTTGGGGAAAAAAACAATCTCAGTTAATGGTTTGGTTCATGACCGACCAGTGTTTCTCTGTGCTTATACTAACATATTTAGTTTTTTATTGTTGTTTGTTTTTTTCAACTGAAAAGCTCTATTATGTGGCTTGGCTGCACTTTGCTCTTTTCACTTAAAAGCTGTCTTTCCGTGTAGTACATATAGCTCTACCTCATCTTTTTAAATTTGTTTACAAGTCCCTTGATAAACATTCAGGCTGTCTGCATGTTTTTGCTACACAGTGTGGCAATGAGCATTTTTGTCCAGCTATCCTTGCATCCTACAAGCGGGTTCCTAACATGTAGCATTTGCTTCTTAAGAGATGCTGCCAAACTATGTCCCCTCTTTATTTAATTTGAATAAAAGCCAGCTCAAGTCATCTGATGCCAGGCTATCATGTCCATTATTTTTCTCCTGGGGCCCCTTCCTTGCCCAGTTCCCCACCATGAATCCTACTAATCCAGTGAGACCAGTTCTCTTTCCAGAGAGAAAGCTGGGAGGTCAGGTCAGGTCACCAGCAGAGCCCGTTTTGGCTGTCTTCTCTATCACTGCCACATGTTGTAGGGGTGGAAAGGGGGATGATCCCATTGCTGCCCATTTTAAAGGGCTGGGACCAACAACCCTATACCAGAATACAGGTTTTCAGGAGAGAAGCATGACCAATTGACTTGATTGTATTTTATGGGACCTTCAGGTGACTATCTATTTTTATGCTTAGGTGCCACCAAGCACGGACAGCCATGATTGGAGGAGAGTATTGAGCTAATGCTGAGGGAGAACCCAGCCAGGCCTCTGTTCAGTCTCCTTGGCCTCTTTATGCAGCATTCCTTCCTCCTGGGCTTGAAGCAGGCCCCTTCTGAAATGAGGGTCTACGATCTACTGCCCAACAAGACACGGCAGAGAATTTCTTTATGGCTAGCTCCAAGACAGAAAGGCAGGGTGGATGGGAGTAAGAGAAATTAGAGCAATATTTTTAGGCTTTATAGTTTTCTTTGGGGAAAAGGACTTCTAGTTCTATGACTTGCCTTGTGGGGAGAGGAAGGAGCAAGAGACAGAGGACAAGAGAAGATCAGAAACTTTGCTTCTGAGGGTGCTTCTGCCTATATCTTGGGGCTTCTATTGTCTTCTGAGCCCCAACACTATCAATGTGGAGGACAAGTTCCCATACAATGCAGTGTGACTCTGCCCATTGTTGTGTTGATCTTGCCAAGGAGATGAAACTGACAGGTCCTCTGGGGAGACGAGTCTCCGTCCTCAATGATGCTGTGGCCATGGATGCACTAAGCCTGTGCTCTCTGGGTACCCTTCTTTACTTTACACCCAGGGCGAAGGTCATTGTTCCCACAAAACATGTCCTCCACGCTAGACCAGCTGAGTTAGGAGGGACTTCCCACCACTGTCATGGACCTTTTCCTGTGCCCGGTCCAACCCTCTTCCCAACACCGTCAGATTCCCATATCATAATCCCAGACCAGCAATTTCTTGTCGGCTTCCCTCAAGGCAGACTCTCCCTCACTTTCCCACTGGATGCTATTCTCCCCAGTGGAGCTCTAGGCCGGACACCAGGACTGTTCCAGACACAGGGGATGCAGACAAAACAAAGAGAAAGTTTTCCTGTGTCCAAAATTTGGAGATTGGGGGCAGGTAATAAATAAATACATAAGAAAGATAATATTGGATAATAAATGCTACTGAGACAAGTCAGGAGAGTAAGGGGGAGTGGCTGCCTGGGCTCCTCTCAGTTGGGAGTCGGGGAAGGGCTAGGTGGGAGCCAACCACAGCCCCAGCGCACAGCTTCAGGGAAGAGTGGTGGGAGGTGGCCTCTGACAGGAGACGGGGCCATGCCACGGTTAAATCCCATGAAACACTCCTAGGACAATGGCCTCAAAGACCTCATCCAGCTTCAACATTCTCAAAACCTAAATCAAGATCTAGGAAGCCTACAAATGGGACTCTTTAGTGTGACCATGTAGATTTTATTATTTTAGTTTTGAATTGCCTTATTTTCACCCAAATTCTTCATCATTGTGATAAAATGGGGAGCAGTTCTGGCTTTATGGCCACAGGTTTCTCTCATGTGTTTCACTTCAACACAATCTTACATAGCTTACCTTTGTTAAAAGAATATTTCTAAGAGAAGATTAAGGTGATTTACTGGTAAGTATCTAAACTAACATTTAGCATAAAAATGAAGCCAAAAGGTCAGGAAGTGAAAACTCCTTCTTAGTTTTTCCAGTGTGCCTTCAAAGAGAAAGGCTCATTTTCCCTATTGATGCTTCTGTTGTTTGAAACTACTCCTTCTGCTCTGATCCCCCAGGCAACAAATGAAGCATTGTAAGTCTTTTCTGGTCCCTTCAATGGCTAATTATACATTTTTAAAGACAATAAATTTTGTCCACAGTGCAGCTGATTACATTCATTTATGAAAATGACTAAAAACAGCACATCAATTTTTTTTTTCTGTCTGGTTACTTAAAAGTGATCATCAAAGCCATAATAGAGTACAGTGGACCTGGAATCGGGAAATGTGGCGTTCAGCCTGCTCCCTCTAAAGGCAAGCTGTGTGCCCTTGAGTACATGATGACACCTCTCTAAACTTCTCTTCTTACCTGGGGGAGAATGGAACTGCCTTATATACTTCAGCTGGAAGAGTTGTAGGGTGGGGAGGGGCACCTGGGTTGCTTCCAAGCCACTGGAAATTTCCAGTTCTTCAACTAGGATGGTATGTGTCATCCTCCAATATCCATGAGGGATTGGTTTAGAACCCTTCAATGATACCCAAGTCTGAGGATCTTCAAGTCCTTTATAGACAATGACATAGTATTGCTTAGAACCCAGGGCCTTGTGCATGCGAGGCAAGTGCTGTATCACTGAGCTGCATCCACAGCCCTCCTCCTGTATAATTTAAATCATCTCTAGATTATTTACAATATCTACATAATACAGTATAAGTGTTACATAAAGGTTATACTATATGTTAATAGAATCATGATGAGAAAATAGTTTGTACATGCTCAATACAGATACATTTTTTTAAATCTGTGGTTAATTGAATCTGTAAATGCAAAACCCCACAGATGGCCAAATGTACATGTTTCTTATGTTGTTCATCCTTAAATTGTTCATACACATTTTATAGATTTGTAATGTGTTTGGTATATATCACAATAAGTGTCTAAATAAATAACTGTTGATATTGAAGGATATGGAAAATGACAAACAGTGTGACCCAAGAGGAAGGAGGAAGAAGGCAAAACATTGATCCTTCCCCAGTAAATTATTTCCCAGTGACAAGACAATCCCTGGGAAGGAGGCAAACATCAATTCTAAAAAGGCAGCCCCTGGAAAGAGGACAAATATTGATCCTTTCCCAGTAAATTATTTCCCAAGGAAAATAGACCCTGGAGGAAGAAGCCAAACATTGATCCTTTCCCAGTACAATGATCCCTGGCAGAAAAAGATAAACACTGGATCCCCCCCCCCATATTTGCCCAGTAAAAACAAGTTTCAAATTCTCACAACCTGTTTCCTGAATGCCCAAATTGACACATTCTATCAATGAAGCCACCTCTCAGTGTAACCTATAAAAACCAGACCCTTCTTGTAACCAGAGGCCATTTTCTACCCAGAAAGTGAGCCCCTCTGATACCTGACTCCACTACTGAATAAAAGGCAGCACTGGACCATGAGGTCTGCTTTCACTATGGTACCAAAACCATTTTGGTTATTTTCACTTACATACATACGTGGCAAAAAGTAAACACAGTGTGAGTTTCCCTCTGGACTCCTAGCAAGTGGATTCAACATAGATAAAAGGCAAAATCACTTTTCTCCTCACATCAAAACATGTTCTTTTGAAAATAGTTTAATTGAAAGAGTAATCTGTGAACATTTGAATAAAACAAAGGACATATCATGCTTAGTACAGCTCTCTTCCCCCTGACCCTCTATTCCCCCTCACTTGAGGCTTTTTAGTGGTCTCCAGAAATATTCTAGAAAGCCAAAGATGAAAATCAGCAAGAGAGAAGCATGTAGAAACATTTGTATGTGCACCACTGTTTTCCATAAATGAAAGTATATTATGCATGCTGTTCTGTACTTTGCATTTTACTAATTTTCTTAGAGATCTTTCAGATCAGTCTATGGATCTAACATGATCAAACTTGGTTTTAGGGAACATTACAGAGAACGGTAGGGGTAGACAGTGGATGTGGGAGAGCCAGATATCAGGCTAATACCACCGTGACAGGTAGTTATCCAAGGTGAGTAGGCAGGGTCCACATGGTCCACCAAAGCACAGGTTCTGCATGCCAGGGATTGAGCTAGCCCAACCCTCAAGGTAGGTGCTTATGTTATTTGAGTTTTCAGAAAAGGAAACAAAAGTGTCAAGAGGTTGAATATCTCAGCTGCGTTCTCCCCTTTGATAAGTGCGTGCTTCTAACCACTAAGCTCACCACTCTCTTTATTCAGGCCCACAGATGGACCCTTCAGAGGCTGGATGGTCAACTAATTACACTGGTGAAAACTGGATTTGGTGATTCCCTCACCATCCTCTATTTTCTCAGAAGTTGATAGAAATCTTGGAAATTCTCTTTGTGGTGTTAATAGATGAGCACTCACATCAAATGTCGTTAGATCTTCTAAAGGGTTCTTTTCAGTTTTAAGTCAACCCTTTTCCTCAAAATTCTGCACATTCTCCTGAAGTTACTTGGTGCATTTTTATCATTACTTTCTGCTTGATTGAGTAAAGGGCAAATTCAGGGCCCAATGCCTCCTGACTGCTGTTCATCGCCCTCTCTCCTCTGCAGATCCGAGTGATGGTGGACCTGTGCAACAGCACCCAGGGCATCTGCCTCACAGGTAAGCTGGCCAGCCACTGACCCAGCGGCTCACTCCGCCAATACCTGTGCTGGCCAAAAGGCAGTGGCAGAGTGAACACAGGAGCATTTTATGTTGTAAAAATACATGTTGATTTACTTGTACCAGGTATTTTTACTGAGCTAAAAGCCAATTATAATATAATTATGAAAAGTTATAATAAGTTCTGGTATTGCCATAGAAATACAGCCATGGAAAATAATTAGGCCTTGGGTAATTAGAAACTCGGGGTACCTTGAACCAGGGCCATAGGTATTTTCCCCATTCCCATTAGTTTTAAAAGGGGAAAGACCTTGTAAAATGGTAGAGTTCTTGTACATGAGAAATAGAGTTCTCTTATCAGGAATAATTCTCTCCCTGCATCATACATATAGCATGAACAGGAAGGTCTGGAAGCCAATTTCTAAGTAGTCAAGAAATACCCCCCCCCCCCCCCCCCGTTTCCAGGGATTGAATCCAGGGGCACTTAACCACTGAACCACATCCCCTTTTTATTTTGAGACAGGGTCTTGCTAAGTTGCTTATGGCATTGCTAAATTGCCGAGGCTGACTTTGAACTCACTTTTTATGAAGAATTTTCTGTGAGGTTCTAACCATGTGCTCGGTGGGCCTGGAGGTTGGCCACATACTGCACCCCTCCACCACATGCATCACTGACATAGAGAACAGAGGAAAGGAACAAGCCGGGGGCACATCAAGACTTGGGACTAGGAATGGCTGATGGAAGGGTAGGTTTTGAGACGATTTTCTAAATCTGAGTGTGAAAGAAACCTGTATCTCACCTGAGGGGAGAATCCTGCCTTCAGAAGGTGAGAGCAAAGAGAAACACAGGCAGCAGAGCAGTCCCCCAAGTCCAGCAGGGCTCTGGCCAGGCCAAAGATGGGCCTAGTAGCCTGACCTCAGACATGGCAGCTCCTGCCCCTCTAAAGTGAAGGGAGCTCTCAGATCAGGTGAGGTGGGCAGCGACCAAAGGAGGCAGATTTAAAAAGGGCCGCCAAACGAGGCTTTATTGAGATATCACTCCTGGGCAGAACTCCATCAGACCCATAGAGTGGACAGGAGAAGGGTCTCAGGAGGCTGACCGGACTGGACTTTTATGGGGCTTACAGCAGGAAGGGAAGGGCTTGGAACAGGGAAAGGTGTTTTTAGGGTCCCTTGTCCCTTTGGAGTTGGTCAGGGGAGTTGGCTGAACTCCTGGATTGGCCAGGGGGTCCTGCTGATTGACAGGCCTTAGTCAGGAGATCTCGCTGATTGACAGGCATTTCCACTAGGGCCTGATTGATGTTCCTTTCCTGCGCAGGCTGCTTTGTTCTAAGTCATCACCAAGTCGCCACCACCGACCTAACAGGAGCATTCTAAGGAAACAAGGAAATCATTTTTACATAAAAACAATGTCTGCAAAATTATGAAGCCAGCTGAGCTTTCCTTGGGCCTCAGAAGTTTATGACCTCAGGCTCTGGGGAGGCCACATCAGCACTTCACTCTGCTGAGAAACCCTGCTCAATCTGTTTCTGGCTTTAAGAAACGGAGCCATTTTCTGCAGTATTCTCCCCAGTTCCTCTCATTGCCTGACACACATTAACAACACAATGTGCGAGTTTTGTTGAAGGGAGAAATCTGTGGCTTATGTAAAGAGTGAATGAAGGAGAGAGCTTCCCTCCGGAGCCCCAAGTCCAAGCTCACTCTCATTTGCTTCTTTTGACCTCAGAGCAAAAAACTATCATCTTGGGGCTTCTTGGGAAATTCTAATTGAATTACTCAAGTCACATTTTGTCCCTCACAGAAAATTAAATATCTTCCGAACAGCTTGGTCCTTTGTTCGGAGACTCTTGTGGTTTAAGCACCTTTCTTCCATCTCTGGAAGGGCCTTTTCAGAGCTCCCAGGTGTGACAGTAATGAGTACTAGAGAAATGTTCAGATGGATGAAATGACAGGCACAAAAGCCTCCTTGAGAGGCACAGGAAAATCCCCTTCCCTTCCGACTGGTACAGTGGCCGACCTGAGAGCCGGGCTTCGTGGTGAAAGCACAGGATGGAGCTCCTGAGACCACTTAGGGGAGGGTGATGGGGAGCAGGGAACTGCATCCCTGCTGGAAATGGGTTGAGCAGGTGATTCTTTAGCACTTCAAAATGCTTTTCAAAAGCCAGCACTCCTTCTTTTTTAGCCTCCTTTTTTACACAGAAATCTCTGCAATTTAAAAGTTTGATGTGAAAAGTACAAATTGCAAAGTGAGAAGATGACTTGGGATAGACCCCACTGCCTGCATTTGAGGGGGTGGTAGATGACAGGACCCAGGACTGAAATGGGCAACTTGAAGAATGGGCAGAGAGCCTTGGTCCCTAGGCGCAAGAGGATGCTGAGCAGAAAGGTTCTCCAGGGCAGAGCCTGGGCTTGGTCCCCAGAGCAAGATCTAGCTTTTACACCAGATTCATCTCTTAAGAAGCAGATGTGGAAGCCAGGAATGAAGCTCAGTGGTACAGCACGAGCTTAGTGTTTGTAAGGCCCTGGGTTCAATCCCCACCAGCACACAAAAATAAAAAGTAAATAAAACTGGACATGGTGGCACATACCTGTAATGCTAGCAACTTGGGAAGCTGAGGCAGGAGGATTGCAAGTTTGAGAACAGCCTGGGCAACTTTGTGAGACCCTGTCTCAAAATAAAATAATAAGGCCTAGAGATATATGTCAGTGATAGAGCACGTCTGGGTTCAATCCCCAGTACAATCAATCAATCAATGCAGGTGCATGTAACTGGGGGCTAGTCTAGCTATGACCATGAAACCCTGTTCCTGTTCCATTTCTTTGCCTCAGCCATAGTTGCTCTGGAGATCAGGACAGATACTATGTAGTTTGTATAGCCTGTGACATCTCAGGGTGAATAGGGAGGCAAATTCCCTAACTACAGTGGTTATGTGTTTTCCTGGTGCAGAATTTGTCAAACAACATATGACATATGCTTTTCTGGGCGCATCTTACTGCCAGACCAAAGTTTTCTTGGGAACCCAGAAACATATCTTCTGGAAGAACAGATGGCTTGAAAAAGACAGGATCTTCAGTTATTCTTTGCTCTATATATGGACCTGAAAAAATGTCTGAACTAGCATGTGGCCCAAACTGCTCATTGGGGGCAGAGGCACTTTAGATCCACAGTGCCCATTCTCCTTGCATCTAAGTGACCCTGATCTAGTGATGGCACTTGTCACTACTCCCTTATTTCCTAAGTTGGGCAACTTTAGGAATCAGCAGAGAGCCTTGATCTGCAGGCCCAAGAAGATGTCAGTCGGGGAAAGTTTGCCAGGGCAGACATCAGGCAAACATCAGTGATGGATCTTGATTACTGCTGAGCATGGCCTAGTGACATTCTTTTCTGGAATTCCAGGAAGCTACTACTAATTGATTGGAAGTGCCTCTTAAAACCGATTCATACTGCTGTTCATACTCTAATTTTTTAAGGACACCATGGCCTCTGCCCAGAATTTAAATGTATCCAGTAAACGAGATTGATCTGAAGTTTCATGTCCCAGTTTAATGGGACATGTGAAGAAAGATACCTTGTCGGATGTGGCAGCACATATCTGTAATCTCAATGACCTGGGAGCCTGAGGCAAGAGGATTACAAGTTTGAGGCCAGCCTCAGTAACATAGTAACACTGTGTTTCAAAATGTAAAAACAAATAAAAAGATCTGGTGATGTAGCCCAGTGATAGAATGTCCTTGAATTTAATCCCCAGTAACCCCACTACTACCCCCACCAAAAAGAAAGAAAGATACTTTTCCAAGCCAGGTGCCCCAGGGCTGGCCCAATAGGTAATGACAGGGGCAACTGCAGAGGGTGTCCCAGGGAAAATAGGGTAAGGATGAAGGCCTCAGAGCTGTATCCTTGGTAAATGAATGGACAGGCCAAACTCAGCTGGTGCCTCAGATTGGTTTTTCACCCAACTAGATCTCCTGACCAAACCAGAAGGCTGTTTTAGTATTAGTGAGTTCAGCCCCCCAGTGTGAGCCTGGGCCCTCTCTGGCCATCCCTTAAGTAGAGCCAAGTTTGTCTCTCACAGGAAAGAGACCACACCCACTCTGACCCTGAGACTGAAGCTATGGCCTACAAGAAGGCTGAGTCCCAGGGAGTTCTTGCTAGGGAGGAGGAGGAGGGGAGAATCAGGACGACAGTCCTCCAAACCTGGTTCCGTAAGGTTTACAGACCTGCATCTTTCACTAGCTCTTTCTGAATGTGCAGCCCCAGCCCTCACCTGAATGTTTCTCTTTGGTTTTGTTTGACTTCTTTATTTCCTATATCTTCCCAAGACTTGGAGAAATATGTAGCTACTTCTTCCATGGTCATGCTCTGCTAAACAGGTGCCTTGGGTAGGGAGCACCTTGTTGAAAATCATTCTAGAGTTAATAGAGGCTGCTGGAGGGAAACCAGAGATACTCAGAGGTGATTCTCTTCCCCTTGATTTGGAATGGCCATGGTGGGAAGAGACAGGCAGCAGCATTCCACAGCCCTGCATGTTAGCCACTGGCCAGGCCTGCTCTTGATAATAATGAGACACATATGTCCTTATTATTACTTCCCACTAACTGAGGTGCCTGTATTTCTTATCTCAGTTAAGATTTTTCTGTTAGATAATAGGAAAAATGCATTAGAACTTATGAGAGGGAAAAAAATGTGAGATGTCAAATTATTATAAAGTGATAGGAGTAACATTTGTCAGGATAAGTTAGGCAATGCTTGGGTAACAAACTAAAACCTCAGGGGATGGGAATGTGGCTCAAGTGCACGCGCTGGGCGCTGGGTTCGGCGATCCTCAGCACCACATACAAATAAAATAAAGATGCTGTGTCTACCGGGGGCGGGGGGAAGCAAACTAAAACCTCAGTGGCTTAATGCAACAAAGACTATTTCTCACTCCATAAAGTCCAGTGACGTTTGAGTGACTCTCCCAGGAAGTCCTGGTGACTCAGGGATCCAGGCAGCTGCCGTCTTGCAGCTCTGTCACCTCAACAATAAGGTTACCCCTCCGAGAAGAGAAATGACCAATGGATGGCACTTGGGGCTCTTATAGGCCAACCTGGAAATTTCTCACTTCCCCACAATGAGTCTCCCTAGCCAGGGACCCCTCATTCACAAGGATTCCTTTAAGGAGTTGTTGATGGTAACTAATTATTTTGCCAGAAAATTTTTACATCACATCAGAGGGCCCATTAATATCTGCATCCTCATCATCTGTGATGTTTGGTAAAAATGCAAGTTCCTGGGCCTCTATTTAGAATCTCCAGACCTGACCAAGGGACCTGCATTGAAACTAGCATTGAAGGAGATTCTGTAGATTCATACAGTAGGAACTGTAGCTAGGAAGTCAGTGGAGCTATGTCAGGGGACCTTAATCCAAATGCTTCCCTATCGAGAGGCTAATGTGTCCTAAACATGCAGCTCCAACCTGAGCTTTCATTACATCCTCACCCCATAGACATAGTCATTGGGCTCTCTGGGAACTCCTGAAACCTACAGTCAATCTTGCTTCTTGCAGTCAAATTGTCCTACCAATCTGTGCAATGGAATGTGCCTGCATCTGTAGCCAGGAATGATGATTAATTAATTTCTTCTGACCTGTTCACTGTCCACACCACCCTTTCCACACCACCCCTTTTCCAGTGTGTGTGTGTGTGTGTGCACCACCTGGTGGTTAAGTCAGGTAGCCACAGGCTGCACTGACTAGAGAATTGGAAGCCATTTTCAGCAAATCATTTTGACCTGAAATGCAGCTGTCTGTATTAAAAGCATACCCTCCAACACCTATCCGTCTGAGAGTCCCTATGTCCCCAGCCTCTATCCATCAGTTATCCTCTAGTTATCTGAGAGGAATCTTACACAGTCTTGCTCATTCCACTGAAATACTTTTTGAATTTCTAGCTTTGCCACTCTGTGGTCACCAGATTTATCCCAACCTTGTCCCTGATTTTAATTACAAAGATTTGTTTATTTCCTCTGCAATTACTCCCTTATCTTTGTGTCTCTCCCTGTCTCTCTATGTCTCTCTCATCTTAGTCCAAATGATTCTATTCGATGTCTAGCTACAAAGAGGGTCTCAAACCTACATCGATCTCCAGCATCATCCCCCTGCTTAAGAACCTGCTGTAGATCCCCATTTCCTCTCACACAGAGTCTACATCTTACAGTCTACACCTTCTGGCATGGCAGTCAAGTGCTTCTATTGCCCAGCCACCTGTGTTCTGACTTAGCCTCATCTCTTACACATCTAGCTTGGCCAATCCTCTTCCTTTCTCCCACCTGAAGCTCCCAGGTTCTGACCTCTGGACCTGTGCTGCTAACTCTGGTGCTGTGTGTGGAATGCCTGGCTCTTAACCTACGGCTGTCTTAGGCTCACCATTCTTCAGGGTCATAGCTCAAGGCTCTCTGTCTTGGGAAGTCTTCTCAGTCCGTTGTATGGCTAGACTGCCCCAGCACCCCTTCGGGGAAGGGGTTACCTCTCTGTAGCTCTCTCATACTGCATTGTGGTTTCAAAGGGTCCACCTTTCTCACACAGGCTATGGGCACAGTAGACACAGGGGCTGAGATTCCTTGGTAGAGTTTGGTGCATGTAGTAAGTGCTTAGTAAATGCTTGTTTTCTGAATAGTCATAGGCTTGGATTTGTGGAAGACCTTTCCACTCTGATATTGATACTCATTATATGTGGTCTGGAGAAACAAAAGCAATTCACCTCCTCTTGTTACAGCCTCATTGACTTGTCTGATTGTTCAAGTAGACACGCTGGCAATAAGACACTCCTATCTGTGGAAGCAAAATCTTTTTTTTTTTTTCCTGGTTACATGTAAATGATTCATCCAAGTCCCTTAGATCCTTAGGTAATTTCACATTTAAGGAAAATGTTTGTTACCTGATCTGGGCCCTCAAGTTTTCTCAGGCTATTTCATGCAACAAATAGAAATCTAGCAAGCCAGCATCTGCTGGTGATACCCCTAGGTGACCTGGAGAAGGCCAGCTGGCTGCCCAAGAGCACTGGGCCTGCTCCCAGGAAAGAGGCTTCCAGCTCTCCAATGACAGCAGTGGGTGGGCTGAGCTCATGGCTGAGCCCCTGGGCCTGGGCTGCACAAGAGCCCACCTGCACTGTCACTCACCCCAATTTGGTCTGCTGCTTCAGAAATTATTCTTGGTCTCTAAAAACTTAAATTGGTTCGATTGGCCAATGGATCTCTGTTGAATTGTTTTTAAGGCTCATTTGAACAAATATGATGAACTCTACATAAAGAGGTATGAAATCAGTTTCTGAGGGTCAGTAGATGAGTAGGACATTTTAAAGAGGAAGAGGCGGTTGTGGTGCTAGGTTTTCTTTCTCCCACCTGTGTCTTATCACTTAAATTTCTTTTTCTGTTGTAGGTCCACCTGGCCCACCAGGTAAGAGTCTATTAACTTTCCTAGTTCAAGGGGAGGATGTGGGTGGCTGGGCCCTTGGGATCCTTCCAAAGGGATAGAGATGGGGAGGGAAAGGTGTGGAAGTGACCTGGCCACATCCCATCCTTCTTCAGGCCCTCTCACTGGAGAATCTACCATCACCATTCCTAACACCTGTCACTGCTTCAGACAGAGAAGGGAGGGAAGAAGCAGGACATGATGTAGAAAAGATGGATGCCCACCCAGTTTCACCAGCTAAAGGAATAAAGGAAAGCACATAAACTTCAGTGGAAAAAAACAATTTTAAATGTTTCTATTTCCGTGTTTTAATGCAGGACCTCCAGGAGTTGATGGGTTACCAGGACACAATGGATCAGACGGACAGCCTGGTCCAGAGGGCCCAAAAGGAGAAAAAGGAGCAAATGGAAAAAGAGGAAAAATGGGTATTTTGGCAACTCTTTGAATTAATTTCCCTGTTTCTTGTTTGTTTGTTGTTTGTACTAAGGATTGAACCCAAGGGTGCTTAAACACTGAGTTTTTAATATTTTATTTAGAGACAGAGTCTCTCTGAGTTGCTTAGGGCCTTACTAAGTTGCTGAGGCTGGCTTCGAACTCACTGTCATGCCTCAGCCTCCCAACCTGCTGGGATTACAGGCATGTGCCATCACACCCAGCTTTCTTTATTTCTTGTCTCCATGATTTCACATGGAATAGTCTGAAGCTATGTACAAAGTGAGTAGGGCATTTCATTTTCTGCATGAAAAGTTAACTCCTTCCTGGAAGCCACTGTATTCTGGAATGCCAAGGGCATTCTTTTTGGTTCAACACCATCAGATATTTATGTCAAATTGAATTAATTCTCTCCCTGGAATTAATACCCTAATGCCCACCTTTTGACTTTCTCTGGTGCATATGGAGGGAGCTGGCAGCCTTGGGAGGATACTCCATGGGCTGTGTGACAGCCGTAGGTGTGGACATTTGGTGTTCTTTCAGGGTTCAGCTCCTGTTTTCCCTTCTGTTGCCTCCTTCTTCCCAGAAAGTTCTGTATTTGACTGAAAATTAATAGGCAGATGTTGGCCCCTGTGAGGGATGTCCCTGGTTAGGGGAATAGCTCCAACCACCTGAACAGAAAGGCAGCATCCAGGGCTCCCTACGGTGGGCACTCAGCTCATAGGGTCCTCTCATCAGGAGCATTACAAAGAGGTGTCTGGCCTCTCTAGGGGATTCCTCTGCCCTGTTGTGGGTAGCAACATTGCCATCATCTCAGCAAGGACCCAGAGGCACCAAGGTATCAGATGTGTCCAGGGAGCAGAGAGAAGCAGGGGCCCGGGCCAGGGTGGGCAGTTCTGAAGGGCTGTAAGCAACAATCCCAGGGTCCATGGAGAAGCACTGGCAGATTCAGCTGAGGAAATATGTAGAAGAAATACTAGAAAATTCTTTCCAACAGCACAGTTATCCCTTTAAGCACCTGTGCTGTTATTCCCATAAGCAATTTAAGTGAGAGCCAATGGAGGAGAAAATTGCTGAGCACCTCTGCCCCTTGGCAAGGTCTACCTGCTTATGTTCCCAGGGGCAGCCCTGTAGATGAAAATGGGTACACACAGTTCAAAGACAGCTGAGGCCTCAGAAGGCCAGCAATTACAACTGGAATTACAGAGTAGTGATGGACAATTCCGTGTAGAATAATAATTATAATTATAGATGAACATCGGCATTGAATAATGATGACTCTCAGAGTATAGACATTGGATTCATCCTGGGAAGGCTCCAAATGTGTGACCCAGTCCCAAGGATTCAGCAGCGTGTTTGATGAAACAGTCTTGGTGAGAGGGCGCCATGATAGAACTAGGTGTGAGTCAGGTAGGGAAGAGATGGCTTTCAAAAAGATTTCAGTTCAGGAGGCTGAGGCAGGAGGATCACGAGTTCAAAGAGAGCCTCAGCAACAGCGAGGCACTAAGCAACTCAGTGAGACCCTGTCTCTAAATAAAATACAAAATATGGCTGGGGATGTGGCTCAGTGGTCAAGTGCCCCTGAGTTCAATCCCCATTACTCAAAAAAAAAAAAAAAAAAAAAAGATCTGAGACTGACACCTGGCCTTGGGAAGATATGCTAAGCATGGAACCCACAATGTAGGAGGGCAGAAAAGAAAAAGTTCTTTTATTTATGAAATGTACATTTATGTGGCAGGTACTATTCCAGACACTAGAGCCCAGAAATGACAAAGTAGACAAAACCCTGCCTTTGTGGGACAGAGGTAAATTTCCCCTCTCCCCTCTGAAGGCTCACTGGAGTACATTGACAAAGCCATCAAATGGGAGCAGAGAGGCAGCCACGTGGTGTAATTACCCACTAGCCCAGCATCATTCAGAAGCTTATATGCCCTTTTTTCAATGGGGAGGGAGATGTTGACAGTTTTGATGGGTTGTCAGTGATTATTTGGGAGAATGAATGGGCCCTTGGGACACACAGACCCCAGCTTGTATAAAGGTTCTCTTTGGAATTTGAAGGTGCCTAAGGGACCGATCTTATAAGGGAAATCTGTCAGGGTGTGCTTACAGTCCTCCAGTCTTCTCTCTGAGATAGATAATGGGATTTGGGGGTGGAGTGGGAGTGGAAAGCATAGGTGTGCCCCTCTGCAGTCTTCATGTGATAACAGGAATTCCAGACAGAGCCTCTCCCTGCTGTGAGTGGGCAGAAACAAGACAAGCAAAGAGGATCTTGATTCTGAGCCTGTGTTTGAGACCTTAATGTCCTTTACATCAAATTTCTGAGCAAGCCAAAAAAATACCCATACTTAGGAGTATATTGTTCTCAGTGCCCTAACACTTTCATGAAGCTGCCGTTCTAGCTGGAAGAGATGGACAATAAACAAAAATAATCAAAAGAAGGTTTGGTCTGCTAATGGTGATGAATGCTGAAGAGGACAGGTAGAGCACCTCTCCAAGGGGAGCATCCCAGCCCCAGACTTGGGTTTAGGGAAGCACTTGGGGGCTCAGATGAGATACGCTGAGTTTGAGATGCCTTGAGATATCTAGGGGGACATGTCAGGGAGCCTTGGAGATACAGCTGGGCAGTTGGAGGAGACCTCAGGGCTTGAGAGGTGCTTAGGGAGTCATCACAGACAGCTGGGCATGTGGGCATGAGTGTGGTCACTTAGGAAAGGAGCATGTTAGGACAAGAAAACCTGGTGGGGATACCTGAGAACTGCAGCATCTAGTGATCATTTAGAAAAGGATCAGCCTCGAGCACTTGCTTAGCATGGCAAGGCCCTGGATTCAATCGCCAGCACTGAAAATTAAAAAAAAAAAAAAATTATATGTATTTCTATTGAAATAGTAATATTTTAGACACATCGAATGATATAAAAGTAGAACATTAAAGTTGAACAGGTGTTGAGTGCTAGTCGGGGTACGTTTAGGAACCTTCCGCCTTTGGTGGGGAGGCTGACATTACCAGTGAGCAATCATACACATTAGAATCAAAAGGTGATGTAGGTTTGAAAGAAAGAGCAGAATGCTAGGAGGCGCGGTAATAGAGACAGTGGGGTGGGAGTTTCAGTCTTAGGTCAGACCCAAAGGATGAGAGCAGAGGAGGAGTCCAGAGGGAGGGCACAGTACTTGCAAATGCCTGGCCATGGGGACTGGGGGGAGGGCTGGGGTGCTTGTAGTGAAGTGAAGATGGAGGTGGGGCCAGGACCTTCTAGGACCTTTCAGCTTAGTATGGGTCTTGCTGTCAGCTTCCAGGAAAGCCCTTTAGGATCCTAAGCAGAGATGTGAAACGACTGGGTGTGACTTTAGAGAAGTTAAAGCTGAGAGTAAAAGGATCCTTAGTGGTTTGCCAGGCAGGGGTGGGAGAGGGAGCTGTGGGAGTGCATTCCAGAAAGAGGGAACAACAAGTGCCAAAGGAACTGTGTTCCACAGAGATAGGGACTCAGCTGGGGCAGGATGTGCCCTCTAGCAACAATCTTCTGTGCAATAGTAAACAGCCACCACCTACCTCCAGGCTTGCTTGCTACTAAGTGCTGGGTTGCTCATTCTATCCCCACAGCGCCACCCAAGGGAAGGGTATTTTTGCTAGCTCAGTTCCTTCCTCTAGCCTAACAGTTGTTTCCAGGACACAGAAGTATCAAAGACCCTCAGTGTCTGACCCTGGAAGCATTAAGAACCATGGTGGGATAGAATGGAGCCAGATCTGTTTCTCAAACAGCCCAAGGCCACCCTTGCCCCAGGGCCTTTGCACTGCTGTGCCCACTGCCCAAATGCCTGCTCCCTGCCCCTCCATGGCTGGCCCTTTCATACTGCAGGTCTCAGTTCAGATGTTGCCTCCTCTTCAAAATCATCCCTGCCCTCTCTGTCCCTGCTCTCTACCAAAACATTATCCTTTCCAGAAATCACCTCAGGGTGTTTATTGTGGCTGTGCTGATGGTCTGAGCCCCTAGGTAGAATGTGAGGTCCGTGGGAGTGGACCGTGTCTGTCTTTATTCTCCCCTCCAGTGCCTGGAATGCCCACTGAAGCTCTATAAATTCTTTGTAGGTGCATGGACATCACTTGTCTAACATCAAAAAGCTAGTGAGTCAAGCAGGGCTTGAATCCAGGTTTCTCTGAGTGCTGGACGCCTGTTCTTACCCATAATACACTCAACTTCCATGCCCAAGGGGCTTGGGCCGGTGGAGAGCAAGCAGTGTTATTGGAGGCACCACAGAGCAGGGGCTCGAAAGCTGGAGCAGGTGATCGTTGAAGGATATGGGGCTTCAAACACCCACCCACCTGAGCCTTATTTACTGAGCCTGACTGGGAAGGCTGGGAGGCTTCCAGTCTTTCAGAGAGGCCTGTAGGACGTTTGTGAGTCATAGCCTGTCAGGGCTGTTTTCATGCCACTTTCCCTGCTTTGAAGGCTAGGGGACAGATGAAGGAGTTCTAGGAGAACTGCTTCCATCCCCAACTGACCATGAGGCCTTGGACATGTCATTCCACCCTCAGGGCCCTGACCTCCTCACCCATAGATAGAGCAGGTGGAGTTACAGCCACTCTACTATGGCTTCCCATTTTAAATATTCCACCATAGTGTCTGTCTAGGGAGGCAGGGACTGTATAGATTTCATTATTTGTCACAGCTATAAGCCAGGCCTCGGCTGAGGTTCAATAAATAATCAATGAATTAGGAATGAATGCATGTATGAGTGAGGAGAACAGAGCACAGCGCCTGTCTGTAAGGGCTTACAAACCTGTTGAAAGAGAATACGAAGTTTACGCATGACACATAGTCTGTAACTGTCCTGGTTTGAAGACTGCTTCATACGTCACAGCAGGTAGGGCTTTGGCTCAGGAGTGACTGGGAACCAGCGTGGACACTTGAGAAGATGGTGAGCTTAACAAGCCAGAGTGCAAGACCTCTAGCCTAACAGTTGTTTCCAGGACACAGAAGTATCAAAGACCCTCAGT